TAGGTTTTCGAGACAGGGTTTCTCTGTGTAGCTTTGCGCCTCTCCTGGAACTCACTTTGGAGACCAGGCTGGCCTCGAACTCACGGAGATCCGCCTGCCTCTGCCTCCCGAGTGCTGGGATTAAAGGCGTGCGCCACCACCGCCCGGCTGAGGCCTATTCTTAATTATATGCCTGGCTTTAGCTTGGCTTGTTTCTTGCCAGCTTTTCTTAAATTTTTATTCCATCTGCCTTTTGCCTCTGGGTTTTTTCCTTTTATTACATCTGTATATCTTTCTTTCCCACTTACTCCATGGCTGGCAATGTGGCTGTGTGGCTGGGTAGTTGGCCCCTAGCATCCTCCTCTCCTTGTTCTCTTGCTCCTTCTTATCCTCCCAGATTTTTCCTATTTATCCTCTCTGCCTGCCAGCCCTGACTGTCCTTTCTCCTGCCTCACTATTGGCCATTCAGTTCTTTATTAGACCATTAGGTTTTTTAGACAGGCACAGTCACACAGCTTCACAGAGTTAAACAAATGCAACGTAAAAGAATGCAACACATCTTTGCATCATTAAAGCAAATGTTCCAGAGCATAAACAAATATAACATATCTTAAAATAATATTCTACAACAAGTGAGTATCCAAAACTCACATATGACATATATAGCCAATACATTACCTGTCTGTCCCATTGACAAACATGTTTACTTTTTCCTCACTATAAGATAACTACTATAAGGTTTAAGATCAAAGAATGTCTCCCAACCTTGTTCTTTTGTAAAATTATTTTGAACAATTTAGAGTCTTCATAGTTCATATGAATCTTAGAAATAGCTTGTTAATTTCTGCAAAAACACAAACAAAAATACAAAAAAACCCACCCTGCTTAGATTTTAGATTAGAGTTACATCAACTTCATGCATTCATTTTTTTTGATTTTTCAAGACAGGGTTTCTCCGTTTAGTTTTGGTGCCTGTTATGCATTAATTTTTAAGGAATTGCTTTCCTGATAATACTGAGCCTTCCAATCAATGAACAGAATATCTTTTCACTTATTTATGCCTTTCTTTTTTTCATTTTTTGATATAAAGGTCTTGCTTATGTTTTGACACTTATTTCTTATGCTGATTGCAGCTGGTATGAATAAAATTTTTTTTTTTTTTTAGTATTGAGTGTGTGCCCTGCAAACAGTGCCAACCCCAGCCAGCTGGACCATTGGTAGGGCATCTCTCATTTGTCCGTGTGCTCAGGGATTGTCTAGTGCTCCCCTCGCTGAAGGTTTAAACACCATCCTTTCACAGCTGTCTCTGGTTTGTTGTTCCTCTGGGTTGTGTTTGTTTTGGTAGAGGGGAAAATCTGATCACTGTTACATCTTTTTATTGCCAGTGGAAGAAGCCACCGAGGCTTCTATTGACGCTCTCCGTGGTGTGGCTGGACAACAGGATCGCTGTGCAGTTGACTTGGGCTTCCCGAGTGAAGATAGAGACCTAAACAAACAGAACAGAGGGGATTCAAGAGACAGCTCTGGGCAGCTTTATTACTCGTCAGTTTACATAGCCCGATAAATACAGAAAGAAATCTACTGTGCGTAAATGCTGAGATTCTGGGGAAGGGCAAGGGCCGAGGAACAGGCCACAAATAAAGGATGAGTTAAAAAAAAATGTTATTTTAGTTTGTAACAACTGTGTTGGAGGCAGGAGATAACAGACCATTGCTTTCAACATTCTGTAGACACAGCTTCCCACCTGGAAATCTAGCTCCACCCTAATTATCAATGATGATTTAGTGAAGAAATTATGTTTCAACCACATAAGATCTTCAAAATCCACCTCATATGCACACTTTCCCAGGAAGGTTCTGGAGAATTTGCTCCAAAATTGTCTAGTAACAAACAAATAAGGGGAAAACAGGGGCTCAGAAAACAAGGACACCCCCACACCACTCCCACTCCCAACACACGCACATAGACACACACACATAGACACACACACACATAGGCACACACATAGACACACACACACATAGACACACACATAGAAACACACATATAGACACACACACACACATAGACACACACACATAGACACACACACATAGACACACACACATAGACACACACAGGCACACACATACATATACACACATAGATACACACACACACACACACACACACA